GTGATGAGATGATGAGCTGCTTGTGCGTAAAATCGTATCCCTTCAGAGTTTGTTCAAGTCCACAAACCTCTGTCTGTGACGGAGCCCCTCAGACATGGCCCCTCTAGTCACTAGCAGATTCCGACAGTGGTTGCTTTCGTAATCGCTTCCAACATAAAAGCTCCTTAACGGAAACACGTCTTCTGGACTCTCTGCGTGACAGTTTCCGGCGAGGAGTGGGTGTTCTTACAGGAGGTCCTGAAACCTCCCCACTGTTTTCGCTGGAAGTGTCTCTGAGCCATCCCTCCAGCTCAGCTCCTCTCCCCCTGCTGGTTCCCTCTTCAGCTGCTGCGTCTCTCCCAACCTGTGTGAGCCCTTTCACCTCCCTGCTGGTTCCCTCTTCAGCTGCTGCGTCTCTCCCAACCTGTGTGAGCCCTTTCACCTCCCTGCTGGTTCCCTCTTCAGCTGCTGCGTCTCTCCCAACCTGTGTGAGCCCTTTCACCTCCCTTCCGTCCGATGGCAGTTCCCTGACATCCACCTCCCCTCCAGGGCCCCCTTCACCCCCTCTCACCCCCTCCTCTACGGGCGGTGAGGAGGCAAAACCCCGGAATGAACTTCCTTCATCTTCCGATGTCTCGAACACTTCTCTCAACCTGTTGCGGTTCCTGGTCTCGAAGTACACCTCCTCCTCAGAGTCCATCTCCCCTTCCCCTTCCGAGTCCGGGAATCCTTCCAACTCCTCCCCCTCATCAGTGGTCCCAAAGTATTCCCTCCGGAACCTCTCCACAGGCTGAGGTTTCCTTGGGAACCTTTGATGGAACGTTTCTATCAATACCTCGTCATTGATATCTTCGGCCATTACCCAAGTGTTTTCTGACTCCGGTTCTCCTTCCCACGCTACCAAATACTCCACCTGATCCCCCTTCCACCTGGCGTCGAGGATTTCTGCCACATGGCTGCTGCATTCTCTTTCTTCTATGACCGGTCCCCGAGTGGCCAGCCCTTCTCGTCCCCCTTCGTACGGTGACAGTAACGACCTGTGAAATACTGGGTGCAGTTTCATGTGGTTGGGTAACCGGAGCCTGAAAGCCACTGGGTTGACCTGTTGAATGACCTCAAAGGGACCCAACCTCCTGGGTCTTAATTTCTTACAACCTCCTTTGAACGGCAACCCTTGGGTTGACAGCCACACCCTATCTCCCACCCTTATGGTTTCACCTTCCCTTCGGTTCTTGTCTGCCTGCCTCTTGTATTCTTCCTTCGCCCTTTCTAAGTTGAGTTGGAGCTGACGATGGATTGCTTCCATTTCTTCCACAAAATGCTCGGCTGCCGGGACGCTCCATCTCTCCCCATCTCCCCTGGGAAAGCCCTGGGATGACACCCATAATTAGCCAAGAAGGGGCTCATCCCTGTGGACACATTCTCGGCATTGTTGTAGGCAAATTCCGCCAGCGCCAACTTTTCTACCCAGTCATTCTCTCTGTCATTGACATAACACCTCAGGTATTGCTGGAGGACACCGTTTGCTCTTTCCGCCTGCCCGTTGGTTTCAGGGTGCCGGGCAGTCGAAAAATTGACCTCCACCTGCAGTAAGCTCATGAGCTTCCTCCAGAACCTGGAAGTAAATTGTTTTCCTCGGTCTGAGACCACCCTCAATGGCACCCCGTGCAACCTAAAAATGTGTTCTACAAATAACTTCGCTGTCTCTTCCGCCGTGACTGCATGCGAGCAAGCTACAAAGTGGCACATCTTTGTTAGTAGGTCTACCACCACCATGATGGCTGTTTTCCCTTTGGACTTCGGCAGATCAGTCATAAAATCTATCGACACTGCCTCCCAAGGTCGTTCTGGGGTTGGTAAGGGTTCTAATAGCCCCGCCGGCGCCCGCCTTTCCCCTTTGGCTCTCTGGCATTGCTCGCACCCTCTTACATACTCACGTACATCTTCCCTCACCTTAGGCCACCAAAATTCCCTGGTGACCAACCACATGGTTTTGTGTTGTCCAAAATGCCCCGCCGTAGGGCTGTCGTGCAACTGCTTGAGTACCCTCCCCTTAACTCTCCTTCAGGGATATACAGTGCCCCTTTGTAATACAAAGCTCCATTTCTTTCCTCGAAACCCCTGGTTCCTCTCCCTCACTCCTAAGACCTCTGAGCTTATTCTGGGCGTATTCATCATTCTCTGTTTCCTCTACCAGTTCTCTTTGTCCCACCAATGCCGCCCCACACACCCAGCGGTCCTCTGGAATGACATGTCTCTCTTCGGGTGCCCCTCCCCTCCAAATATTCTGGTTTGCGTGAGAGAGCGTCCGCCCTAATGTTCTCTGGGCCTGGCACGTAATTAATCTCAAAGTTAAATTTGGAGAACTCCTGGGCCCATCTCACTTGCCGTTGGTTGAGCACTCGTGCCGTCCTCCAATACTCTAAGTTCTTGTGGTCAGTGCACACTTGCACCTTATGTTGTGCGCCAATTAGCAGGTGCCTCCATCTCCGGAACGCCTCATGAATGGCTAGTAGTTCTCGGTCATACACCGTGTAGTTCCTCTCGGATTTGTTCAGCTTTCGCGAAAAAAAAGCACACGGTCTCCACTCTGACCCCTTCTTCCCTGGCTGCAGAAGCACCGCCCCAATCGCTCTGTCTGATGCGTCAGTTTCCACTCTCATCGGTTTTTGTAAATCCACATGCAGGAGTTGTTGTTCCGAGGCGAAGGCCCTTGTTAGTTCCTCAAATGCTCGCTCCGCCTCCTCAGTCCACACGAACTTCTTCTTACTGCTGAGACAGTCCGTAATGGGCGCCGTCAGGTGGGCAAAGTTTCGGATGAACTTACGATAGAAGTTCCCAAATCCTAGGAACCTCTGCACATCCTTCTTTGTTTTGGGTGTTTTCCATTCCAGCACCGCCTGGACCTTGCCGGGATCCATGGCCAATCCCTTGTCAGACAGGCGATACCCCAGGAATTCCACCTCCTTGGTATGAAACTGACACTTCTCCAGTTTCACCCACAGCTGGTTGGCTTGCAGCCTGCTCAACACTTCTCTGACGTCTCTCACATGCTGCTCCTCATTCTCAGAATACACCAACACGTCGTCTAAAAGGGCCACACAATTCTTGTAAAGCAAAGGCCCCAGGACGTGGTTCATAAACGATTGAAATGTTGCGGAGCCTGCTTGTAGGCCGAAGGGCATAACCAAATATTCAAATGCCCCTAAAGGGGTGAACATAGTGGTTTTCCATTCATCCCCCTTCCTTATTCGTACCAGGTTGTACGCCCCCCTTAGGTCCAGCTTTGTGAAAATCTTTCCCTTCCGCACCCTTGTCAAAATGTCGTCAATCCTGGGCATAGGGAAGGCTACTGGTTCTGACACTGCATTTAAGGCCCTGAAGTCACACACCAGCCTCGGCTTGTTCGTGTTTTTCTTATCCACAAAAAACACTGGGCTGCCCCCTACCGCCCTGGACTCTCTGATGAACCCTCTCTTCAGGTTCTTGTCAATGAACTCTCTTAACTCCTGCATCTCTCTGTCTGACATGGCGTACAGCTTGCCTACAGGGAGCTGTGCTCCAGGGAGTAAATTGATTTGACAGTCAAAGGGTCTATGCGGGGTAGTTGGTCAGCTTCCCTTTCGCTGAAGACGTCACGGAGATCTGCATATTGTCGT